TCGCAGTGGGAAGCTATATATACAACTCTACCCATCTAATCCTAGTACATAGACATGTCAGGCTATCATGTTGCTACAGTGACTAGATGTGACAGCAAGACTGACTTTGGCGCCGACCCCTGTTGTGCCTACAGTGCGACAGGGAAGCCTTTCGACGCCTGTCTCCTGCCGCGGCTACATTGCAGCGGCAGAAGAGCCCTTTCGGCGTCTGCCCCTGCCGACACGTAAAGAGAGAGAATAACATATTACTTTACAAGATTTAGGTCATTGCTGGAAAGAAAAATCTGATACGCTACCACATCCTGTTTCAAAACCTGCCGTGTCCACTTTTTAGTGCTTAATTTTTAAAATTTATTGCGTTTAGCCATCCGAAAAGTGGCTAGGCGAAGCGTAATATGGATTGTGTGGATAAGCCAAACTTCTCTTAAAAATGATAATTTTTTAAAAGACCTGTCAGAAAGGTTTGTTTCTCTTTTCTACGGTGCTAGCGGCTAACATTGCTAGGACTCATTATCTCAAACAAGCAGATGCTACTGCCTAATTCAGTAGCGCACTAGCGCTTGCCTTCAGCTGTACACGTTAGCCAGAACGGCCTATTTGATTGCTTAGCTGCACTGTATTGTTAAGTGATTCAGCACCGCATATGCATTAGCAAAAATGTTTATGTTGGGTAGTTGCTCAGGACTTTGTATACTGTTTCAGTTCAAAGTATATACTTTGTGACCCATATTTTTTTGCCATGCTGTTGAAGCTATCAGCTACTCCATCCATTTCAAATTGTAACTTGTTGTCTTTTCTAGATATGTAGTTTATTAGTTTTGCTATGTATCTAGACATAATATATTTGTACGCAGCAAAAGCTACGTACCTAGAAAAGCATGGTGGATGTTAAATTGTTAATGTAATATTCACCTCTCGCTGTTCTGATTATGAATTTTACAGGTCTCAAACACCCGACTCTAAGACTATCTCCAACAACAACACCCAAAATACAAGACCCATTCAACGTTTGGGTAGCGCTACAGTCAAAAGGTTCAATACCCATTCGACATCCTCTTCAACAACCTGACCTAAAAGAGAATCATTTCTGCAAATGAGTTTCCAGGAGAGAGGATACTCATATTTGGGTTGTGCCTCTCAGACAACCCAAAATGAATCTTTCGTATAGGTACTCTGTTGGAGACTGATTTTGAATCTCCTACTATCATTTTGGATTTGGATGTCCATATAGGTCACCTGATAGAGACAATCTGGGATGGCAGACAACTTCCACATCTCCGGTTCTCTGCAACTTCATGACCATCGAACAGAAGAACGCGCCTCTGCTGAACAATAGCACAAAATGGCCCCTGCACCTGAGCTTCCCTAGCGCTGGTGCATGCTCCACATGCGCCAGCAAAGTACCGGAGGGCTCCGTAGTCCAGTAGGAACAGTCGTTCCTGGACGACACGCCGCAGGTCGGTGACAGGTATGCGCTCACCTGTCGACCTGCGCTGCGTACCTAACGTCCGATTGCGTCATCCAGACGCACAGGGAGGCGGGAGGCAGACCTGTACTAGCGTGGTCCCGTGCATGGATCAACCTTGCACTTTCATTCAGATTCGATCTTGAGTTATCTGTTATCGACACTGTCATTAGCACACGTTATTGTGGTTGCAGCTTGCTTGAACTAGTGCATTCTTAATCGTCGTCCAGATAATTTGGCATGATGACCAAATCCAGGTTCTTGTGCTATGATTCTTCCCGTGCTTTGTTATCTCTGGTCTCTGGATATCACGGGATCCACTAAGCCCTGTCCTGAAATCAACGGCAGCTAGGTGCCGCTAGCATCTATCTGTCAGTTTCAGGCTTTCAGCTTGTCACTGCCGTTCCGGGCTTCCGCCTTCCGGTGACGTCCATTGGAAAGAAACAGTCAAACATTTTTTTTATCCAACAGTCAAACAGATGGGAGCTTTCAGGAATGCTGCCGCGGCCAATGCAGGCGGCACCGGCAAGGTTTACGTCGCCGAAAGGCCTTTCCGTAGTAACCGGCTCGTCTGGAAAACCTGGGCGCCTTTGAGGGTGAGGATATTTCTCTGGCTGGCTCTCAGACGCCGTCACTGGACTGCGGATAGGCGTGCTAGGCACGGCCTCGAAGCTAGAGAGACCTGTTTCCTCTGCGATCAAGACCAGGAGACAATCGACCATATCATCGCAGTGTGCCCGTTCACAAGGTAGCTTTGGCACCACATCCTACAAGCTCTTGGTCTTCAGTTACCTGCAGGGACAGCATCTTCTCTTGCCTGGTGGCGACGCATCAAGTCACTCGCCAATGGACAGCGTCGAAAAGGTCTCGATACGCTATTTGCTTTGGTCTCTTGGCAGGTTTGGAAAGAGCGTAACGCCAGATGCTTCCGCGACGCCTCGGCAACAATCGTCGAGTTGCTCCAGCTCATCAAGATGGAGGCCGACCGATGGATTGAAGCGGGCGCCGCTGGTCTTGCAGAACTAGCTAGGGGATAGCTATGCTTAGTGTCTGCTATGTCGTTGTCGTTTCAATCATGTAGTCCCAGATGTGCAGCCGGCTACGCCGGCAAAACCTTGTATTTCATTTCGCTTCCTTTTTAATGAAAATGATGCGCAGATCTCCTGCGCATTCGAGAAAAAAACGTCGCCGAAAGGCCGGCCGGCGGCCGGGCCGGCGAGCGCAATAATTTGGATGCTGGTCGACAGGAACCGGAGGACGTGTCACATGAAATGAAAGCTAAAAAACAAAAAAGGTCCTGCGATCTTGACAAAACGAGGAAATGGCGGTTGCTGCTGGAGACATGAGGATTCGCACTTTTTTCTCTCTCTCTAGACTCGGAATTTCGATGTGGCCTTTTGGCTGGTATTTGTTGGTTGGTTGAAAATAATGCCATTGCACGACGGCTTTGCTTGCATGTACGAGTGGATTCGCGTGTATCTGATGAACCAGAACATTCGATCAGCGTTAGGTGTGACTGATCGACCGTCTGAAACTCTCAATGGGCACACGAAAAGCGATGAAACAGGAGATGATGAACTGGATGGAAGGCGATTTGTAGCGTAATGGTGCCAAATACACAAGAAAGGGGTACGTACGATTCAGGTGTCGTCCACTTGTAGCTTTGCCAGATTGCTAGGTCCCATACTCAGATGAGTCACGTAACTCGTAAGACGTTACTGATTGCTCGTTTGGACTTTGGAGGATGAACACTGTAGCCATATTTGGGCTAGTGACAATTTGAGTACTTCGCTCAAATTTTTGTTGACCGCGTTACAAGTTTTTTAGGGAAACAAGAGAGATTGTCCCCTACTAGTTTTTTTTTTTTGCATCTAGTTATTTCTCCTCTCGTTTTGGTTGATAATCAATGTAACCCCCCCCTCTATTTTTTCATCTAACTTGCCACTTCTTCTACTATTTAAAAGCTAAAATATACCCTCAAATCTAAATCTTAACTACCCAATCTACTTTCATGAATATTTAAATGGACATATGTTATACATACAAGTGACTCTTTCATTCATCTTTTTTTCTCTCGCAATGTCCTCTGTGTCCCGTATGTGATCCGGAGCCACAATCGGTTACCATACGAGTTAGAACAACTTGTATATAGCAGTCTAATTCCAAGACATGCCAAGTGACGGTATGCAGTTCGACCACAAGACGTTGAAATAGATCTCGACCGTTGAATAAATCTCCGAGCCATAAATTATCGAAATGACCATGCAACAAATTTATATGTTTCGCTGCAACGTATGGGCACGCTTGGTAGTTTCTTATAATAAAGCAATATTACTTTACATATATAATTCTTGATATGAAAATTCAATATATTGAGAAATGGTTGAGTGGTTTGTTAGTACAGACTCGTGGTAGGATCTTATACATATCTACATCGATAGTGAATTTTTGTATTCCAAAATCAGCTACTTTCTTGTAGTATATACTAGTCCATCACGCGCGCCATCGCGCACGCCGGCAAATCACCTAGTTAAGGCGTAGGGAAAAAATATGTTTAATCTTTGCATGGAAACAATATTAGGAGTTTAATTTAAAGGACTGTTGGTCCAAACTGAGGTTGGGCTGATGAACATACTATGATGGATGATTTCTGCTCCAGTGTTGCAAGTACAAACACTGAAAATTAGCAGGAGGCAGTTCCTGTGCTTTCAATTTGGATTATATAAACCACCAACCAACATAAACAGCAGAGGAGAAAATATACTAATCTAGACTGGCTTAGATTTATGAAGCTAGGTAAAGAGTCACGGGAATTACAGTGTAGCAAAGGAATGGCATACTAAGCAATAGCTAAAATAAACTCCATCAAGTTTGCATTAGTTTAAAAAAAGCAAGTGTGAATGTGAAGCTGATAAAAAAGGCAAGATTGAGAATCAATAGAACAACGAAAGATGTACCTCATTAGGTGTGGTGTACACGACATCTTAGATGTCCAAATTTGTTAAAAAAAACTAAAATGATAGATGTGTCGATTAGCTAACCTCTATCTAATAGTATATACATCAACCTAAAAGTTGTATCCTGCTACGATCAACAATAGCAGGGAGACATCTTCTGGTTATTTAGTTTCCAACTATTAAAATGATACTGTCACCTTCGGAAAATGTTGCTACATGTAGGCAAACGAACGGTCCTTGCTTATAAAGAGGCTAGACAGGGTATCCTTTTTTAAGCTTTGAAGAAGCTGAACTGTATGTTGTAGGTCAATTCATTTACAAAGGACATGAAAGGCTATATAAGTAAGGCTTACCTAGTAGTTCTGTTGATGGATATAACTCTAAATTAGGGAATAGCTGTCTGTTTTTGTTTGAGGGGCTGTGCAGGTGTGGTTTACTGGGTGCTCCAAAAAGCTCAGCGACAACTCTTTGTACTATGTACTGATTTGCATACTGTATAATAGCAGGTTTAGGAATTACGTGGAGCGGCACAAGAGTATGGAGTTATGTATAAGCCCGAGCAGCTGCGTAGTGCTTACCTATTTTGGGACTTGGGAAGGCCTACGGGTACTGCCTTTTGGCTGAAGCATGGAGACACTGGATTTGGACCTGTTTGTGGTATGGAGATGGTGTTATACGAAAGGTACTAACACATGTTAACTGAATATGTATAACAGGATTTTTCCAAATATTATATCCCTGATTAGGCAGTGTAAATAGGAAAAGGACAGTACATTTTAATTATACAGTGTAAATAGGCAGTGAAAGGCAAATACATCTCCATGATTAATTGGAAAAAATGGCCGGCATAACTAACAACTCAGTTAATTTGAGAACGAACGCTTTAAATATAGTAAGGGAGATCGCATGACTATATATAGCTGTTGTACGTACCTGGTGCGAAGAACGTAAACCACAGTAGCATAGATGATAAAATTGAAAAAAATGTAAATTGATTTGGGGAAGAAGCAACCTGCCCAGTAAATATGAAACCAAAAACCAGCACATTAGGAGATTGGAGTTAACTGAAGACAAGAAGCATTCCAAAATTATCACATGAAGAATAGAATACCTGCACAGCGCCTTGAGCTGTTCAGTCCAAATTTGAATGTGACATAATCCATGGTAATAGACAAAAAACTGAAAACCCAAAATATCTCATAAATCCAGACTATAGACACTTTAAATCTTAAATCAAGGCCACTCTAGATTTCAAACCGAGGCATAAAAAACACTTGTAACTATAATCATCAGGGCAAGCACCTTTATATTATGTAAATATGGCATGTCAATAGCCAGCAACAAACCAACTAATACTTTGTCAAGTGAACATGTGGAGGGGGGAAGGTAGGACGTCACATAGCTTGGAAGGGAAAACTTTAAAATTTTGGCAGGGAAATAGACAGCAACAAATCAGTTAATACTTGGTCAAGTGAACATGTGGAGGTGGGAAGTTAGCAGCTCACATAGCTTGCAAGGGAAAACTTTAAGATTTTGGCAAGGAGAACCTATAAATTGGAAGGTTTCTGTAGCAGAGAATAATTATATAAATTTAAAAGTCTAATGTATTATTTGGTTGTAGAGGTTTCATATAGCTTCAATCCAGTTATGTGAGACTGAGATGCAGACATATTAAATAACAGTAGAATGTATGAAATATTTTTGGCACAAAAATCAGCAAGACAGACCATTCAATACCACAGGAGCCGTCCAAGAGTATGCAAATAAGGTCGACGAGGATGCGTGTAGGGTCTGGTGGAGCACATCCAGGAAACTGCATCTGCATAGAAGCTGCCGCGAACATGAAATTACCTAACGCAAGGAAATAAGCCTGTAAATAAGACAACACAAAGAGAAGTCATGTATGTAACAGATTCAGCACATAGACAAAAAAACTGAGGTACCGAGCTGCAGCAACAGGCCCAAATTCCATTTTATTAAACACGACATCATTTTAGGTGTGCAAATACAAACTAACCCATTCAGGTTTCGCACATATAAACCTTGAACTGTTTTTATGTGTGCATAGATAAATATAAATTAAGCCATATCTATTTTTTAAATACAACCTTAGAGGCATTTCATGAAGCAATTTATAGCTTATTCATGTCAATTTATAGCTTATTCATGTCATTTATACTAATTTAATTTTTTAGCTGGAAACAAACTGAAGATGTGCACAGAGCAAATTGCAAAATGACCCAAAGGAAAAGCTGAAGATATTTTTTGACGGTGCTAGAACGAAATCATCACAACTTTACCCCCACTGTGTGAAGTGGCCTCTGTGGCAAGAAATCTAGTGTACTCCCCCGAAACGGCAAAGAGCAGATGATTTGCAATGATGAGGTCTACAATGATGTCCTCTGGAGGAACATCAAGCTCAAATGCTACTGGCTGGGAACAAGGCAGACATGAGAGCGATGATTGTGAACCACTAAATGATACCCCATTATATGCATATAGTAATACATATACTAATTTAACTTTGTAGTAGGAACAAACTGAAGATAACGTGATCGCCGCTGCTGATCTGGCTTGTCTAGACTTCTCAAGACTCTTGCACTGAACTTGCAGATTAGGTGACAGCTGCATCTTTGACCCTGAGCGATTGTTCGAACACACTGGATGTAGTAGAACATCCGAAAAAATAGAACAACACAGAATACAAAAATAGCTATTAGACGATTTCAGAGAAAATTGTCAGCCGGCAACTGATTCCTTCACAGCTTCTACCTGCGGCCAACCTAGATTTAATTGAGCGATACACTTGCCAGCAGAAGTGTGGTGGGGTTAGCTGGGTACCTTGCGTCCCATAAATCAACGAGGAGACAAGAGATCCGCCAGATCCAGACTCGGAGCTGAGACGCCACCGTGGCCATCGGCGACGAAGATGGCACGAGCAGCGGAGCCGTGGAGCACAGGCAGGTAGGGTTTCATGGAAGCGGGGCAAGGCGACGTCGTTCGGTGGCTGCGTCGCCGGGGGCCGCTCGTGACTCCGGGCTGGCCGTGCTGGGTGCTCTTGCGGGGAACGACGGGATCCAGCCATGGAGGCCCCAGATCGACCCAGCAAAGAAGGCAACAACCACAGACCGCACAGATCAACGTTGGGCACCGGCGAGGGAAAGAGAGGAGGAGCAAGGAGAGAGGCCACCTTCACCTGCGTCTGCTCACGCCGGAGCCGCTGCGTGCTGGGTGCGCCCTTGGGGCCCACCGGCGCCATCGCACAGCTGTGCCGAGGGGAGCAGTCGGCCCGCTCTGCCGCACTGCCGTGCCTAGGGGCCGCATCCGCGGCGCCGCACTGGTGGGCGGCCTCGCCTGGTCGGCGCGCGCCCGTGCTAGGGGGCCGCCGGGCCGCGGCCTCGCCTGGCCGCCGCGGTGGGGGCCTACCCTAGCCGCCGCCGTGAGAGCTGAGGGAGAGGGAAGAGGCGCGGATGCGGACGCGGACGCGAGAGGGAGCGGTGGAAGGATCGGGAAGGCAGAATCGGAAGCCGGCGTATATATCTGATGGGCCTGCTCCGGAGCAGAAGCCGCACAACACCGAGAGAATTTACGGGAAAGCTGTGGAAGCGAAGCCAGAGCGGCAGAAGCCGCTGCCGGTCGAATCCGCTCCAGACAACCATGGCCACACGATGGAAGATCCAACGGCTGTAAACGATGGAGCGGCGCGGATAGGTTGAGAGGCGGCCCAAGAACGCTGAAGCGGCTACAATCCATCTGGACCGCACGTTGGGAGATCGGACGGACGAAAAAAAACGGGGCGACGTGGACGGTCTGGTTGATGGCCAAAGCTCCCTGCTTTGATAATAAGAGATTTCATAGCATTTTGGAACCTGCTTTTGGCTTCATCTTTCTACTCTCTCAAATGGAAGTTTGTCTTGTTTTAATAATGGGATAAAAAAAGGATTGGTTTTTCAACCAAATAATTTACATTTTTTTCTGCGTTACACAAATTAACTTTTTCACGTTACATCTGAGAGCAGTTTTTTCTTTTACCGTTCGTAGCAGTTTTTCACGTATCTATTTGCGGCGCTGCCGCCGCTTTATCTCTGCGCAAACAATGCGGTCAGGAGGAGGGGTGGCGGTGATAGGGGAAGCTGGATCCATGCATGCAGGGACCAGGTGAGGCCGAATGCGAGTCTGACGCACACACGCAGCGGTTGGGCAGCGGGCCCAGTCCACGTGCCGCCTCGTCGGCGCGGCGTCACGCGCAGCAGCAGGCAGACACCCAGCCGACCCGAGTCGCGCAGGTCGCCACCGCCCCATCACCCCGCACCGACCCGACCCGACGCGCCTGCCTGTCTGCCCGCTGCCCTGCCCTGCCTCGACGTGCCGTCGTGGTCCCATCCTCCCCGACGCGCACGCGCAGGGCTCAGATTCCGGCTGCGGGGCGGCGCCAGGTGCAGGGGGCGTAGGCGCATGCATCAGTACACACCCCACGGCCGCCGCCACCCGCCAGGATCATCCAGGGTCGGCCAGCGACCGCTCGCTCGGACGACGTCACGAAACGCCTCTGCTGCTTTCGACTTTGCGTAGACGTAGACGCCTGCGCATGGCACCCCTGAAATAGGGGCAGGCAGCAAGTCTCACGCCGCGTCCCGCTTTGAGAAACGAGAACACCCGTCTCAACAACCACCCCATGGAATGGAATGGATCCTACACGCCGGAAAGGGCACGGGATGACGAGGAGACACGCTACAGCACGCGCGACGGGTGGTGCAGCACCGGACACGCGTCCAGCCACGGGAGCGCACGCACATGTACAACGCACTGGGTAGGAGCTGTCATCACTGATCCAATACGAACAGAAACCTAAAAGAAAAATCCAAAATCCGATCTAAACCTAATTCAAAATAAATGTCAAACCTCTTTTTTTTAAAAAAAAAAATCGAAGTCCAACCAATAAGTGGATCTAGTTTAGCAATAACAAATTTAGTAAGGCTACATGCGATCGAACCCGTTTTTTAAACCCAGACTCTGAATTAAAACATTGTGGCCAATTTACATCCAAAATGGAAAGAAACCTAATGACTCTACTAAATTCAATCTAATAGTATCCATGAATAATCCCCATCCATTCTAACGTACGTCTAGCCTAGGTCTCTGATACAAACACATACTTTTGAAGTTCTTTCTCGAAAATCTGAAGCTTGTCGCATCCATAGCTCTTGTTTTGACGCACTTTGATCACGAAATGTTGAAATTCCAAATTGCTCTAAGTTAATTCATACGAAAAATAAGAAAATTCAGCTCCATACGCGCGCGGTATGCCCCATAGTACTGGGTGACAAATTTTAGATTGGTTCCGAGTAGCTGCTCCGTTGCTCCCTGGCCACGCGCCAGGCCGTCACGGTCTGTTTCACATCAAGCTTCCCCCCGCACGCCTGGGCTCCCTCCCTCCTCGCGGTTTCCCTTTTCGTTCCCGCGCGCCTGCCTGCCTGGCGCAGCCCTCGCTCTCCACGGCCGCGCGCACGCGGGACGGCGGGAGACGGGACGCGAGTACGCGGCGTAGCGAACAGCTGTGGCTAGCGCAGGCACACGGCTTGCCAGTTGTCGCCTGCTCAGTCACTGCCATGTCCCATCCCAGCCGAGCCACTGCATCATAAATACAGACAACCCGAGGGCCGAGGCCGCCCGCGCGCTCCCTCCAGACACAAGCAAAGCAAGCACAGACACAGAGCGAGCGCGGCGACACCGTTACGCAACGCAACAAGGAGGCGCTCATCGATCTAAGAGGACTAGGCTCCGCCATCGACGCACGCAGGCGTCCTCGACTCGCTTGGTTTGGTTCCTCGCCGCGCGCGGCCTCATCGTCGGGCGACGACCGCTCTCGGCATTCTTTCTATCTGATTACTGCGGATTGGAGGCGGCTTCGGAGCTCGCGGACGGAGCCGTCGTTCATGGCCGTGGCGGAGCGGTTCGGACCTCGGCGGCCGCCGTCGTCTCGCTTCTTCTTCGTCGCGGTGCTCCTCGTCCTGCTGACAGGTGAGCCTAGCTCGCAACCTGTTGTGTGTTTCTTACTTACGATTCCTGTACCCCCATCGCCAGTTTGTGTGAGAGCTTTTATTTCCCTTGTATGTAACTCCAGTTTCCCCTCCCCGGCCCCCCACGAAATCTAAGGTCTTAATTGTGGGATCGAGCCCAATATCTTGGAATTCGTCTTGGGGCTCCGTTACATGTTCCAAAAGAAAGTGGAGTTGAATTGTCTTTTATTTTCTTCCTGACATTTTAATTTGTATGAGGCTCTGAATGGCCTGAATTTGAACTGCACTAGTCTGCAGGTCGAGTTGGTTGCCATTTACGTACTCCCATTGAATTGTTTCGTGCTAGCCTCCTATTTTGTTTCTTTCTCAAGTGTTTTTTTTTTTAATCTCACGTACGTACTCCATTGCATTGTCTACCTAGTAGTAGTGTATCAATATAATCTTGACATGTTTAGTTTAATGATGGTACTTCTTCATGTTACTTTTTATTCTATTTACTTAAATGTATATATTTTGGTATTTCACAAGTATTCTGTTCCTATACTTGGCCTCACCAGGGAATAAATTGTTCATGACGCATGCAGCATCTATACTTCTTCTTTTGTTAGTTGTTACAGTACTATACAACGGTAGTATTATAAGATCATACGTTATTGCGAAATGGTGGTTAATAGGCGTACTTGCTGAGATTATCTTATCTAAGCTTAACCGATATGTAGCTAGTGTGTGAGATCACATGGCCCCGAAGTGCTTCAGGACGTAACGCAGGCTGCCCACTAAGACGGCATCTCCCAAATCTCGATTCTAATCGATCGGAGTTCCTTTTTATTTACCTAAGAAATGGACCAATTTGCTGCCTTTTCGGCCCAGTTTGACGTGCATCTGATCTGGTTCTGAGCTGTCACAACTTTTGGCTTAAAGTTTTCCTCTGGAAGGATGGTTTGCTTCGTCCCTAGTCGCCAGCTAAATGTGATGGGCTTTTTGATCAGTCGTGGCCATTTGAATACAGATAAAATAAGGAGGTGTTTGACGACGTTGGTGGTATTTTATCGGGCTGATTCTCGATATGATTCCCCAATCACATGACCACATGTGGACCGCGCACAACTCATCGGATCCTCTGCATGCATATACTAGTAGTTAACTGTGTACGATTTTGTCCCGCAAAGATGCAGCTAGCCTAGATTTATTTGATTGTTTATTTTTTTCAATTTTGAGCCACTGAAGACCTAGCTTGAACGATCGTGTGACTGACGCTTGCATTGCACTGCAGATGGCGCCGGAGTGGCATGGAGGAGAGCAGAAGGCGTGTCGATCGGCATCAACTACGGGCAGATCGGGGACAACCTCCCCTCCCCGTCGAGGGTGTCGTACCTGCTCCGATCGATGCAGGTGAGCAAGGTGAAGCTGTACGACGCGGACCCGACCGTGCTCTCCGCGTTCCTCGACACGGACGTGGAGTTCGTGGTGGGCATCGGCAACGAGAACGTGTCGGCGATGGCGGCGGACCCGACCGCGGCGCGGGCGTGGGTGCAGCGCCACGTGCAGCCGTACCTCGCCAGCGGCACCCGCATCACCTGCATCACCGTCGGCAACGAGGTCCTCAAGGGCAACGACACGGCGCTCAAGGCCGCCCTCCTCCCCGCCATGCAGTCCGTGTACGCCGCCCTTACCGCGCTGGGCCTGCAGGGCGCCGTGAACGTCACCACGGCGCACTCCCTGGACATCATGGGCACCTCGTACCCGCCCTCCGCGGGGGCGTTCGCGCCCGACGCCGTGCCCTACGTGCAGCCGCTGCTGGGGTTCCTGTCCATGGCCAGGTCCCCGTTCCTCATCAACTGCTACCCGTACTTCGCGTACAAGGCGGACCCGGGCAACGTGCCGCTGGAGTACGTCCTGTTCCAGCCCAACGCCGGCGTCACCGACGCCAACACCAGGCTCAACTACGACAACATGCTGTACGCCCAGGTGGACTCGGTGTACGCCGCGATCCAGGCGCTGGGGCACACCGACGTCGACGTCAAGATCTCCGAGACCGGGTGGCCGTCCAGAGGCGACCCCGACGAGGCGGGTGCCACGCCGGAGTACGCCGGCAAGTACATCGGGAACCTCCTGCAGAGGATCGAGATGAAGCAGGGCACGCCGCTGAGGCCGTCGGTGCCCATCGACGTCTACGTCTTCGCGCTCTTCAATGAGAACCTCAAGCCCGGGCCGGCCTCCGAGCGGAACTACGGCCTGT